TCGATATAAAATTTAATTTAAATGTATTTAAAAAAGTTAGCGAATAAACTTTTAATTAATACATTTTATGATGATTATTGGCAAATCAAATAAATTTTAATACTATTTTTATATAATTAAATAATTAAAAATAATAATAAAAGTTAGGCTTAAATTTATTTAGCATAAACAAAAAATGTAAGTTATTATTTACTTTAAATTATAGACATAAAAATCTTTAGAAACAACTCTCTGCTTGAGACACATGCAGTTAGGGTATACAAGCTTCAATCAAACTGTTTTTTTTACTTTTTGAGCACTTGTGTTTGCATTGCTTTTGCTTATTTGGCGCTTTGCTTGATTCCCTCTTTTTACTCAGCTTTCCATTCATATATATTTCTTTTTTGGTTTTTTGTCATTTGCAGATTGGCTGAAGCTCTAACGTCATGGTATGAAGGAGCCGGCGAACACTTTGGATGAAATTGTAAGTGCCATGCAGTTCATATATCAACTAAATTGTGCCACAGACAGGCAAACAGAGAGAGGGAGACGGACGGACGGGCGGGTGGACAGGCAGAAGTGCTCAAAATGGGGTATGCCACAAGAGACAAAGGACATTAAGCGGCGTGACAGTTGTTAAGAAAAGTTAAGAGAATGCAACTGACACAATGTGCGAGAGTGAGAGAGTGAGAGAGGGTGGGGTATTACAATATGAAAATCAATCTAAATAGAATGCGATTGTGCGATGACGCCGCCAGGTGGCGCCAGTCTCTAGTGCAAACACAAAGCCGAAAAAAGGGTTAAACAAAATTTCAAAACGCAACATGTGACGCACATGACAGCAACAAAGGCAGAGGGAGAGAGAGAGAGAGCTGGTGGAGGAGCGGTGGCATGCCTCCGATTGCCAGTTGAAAACTTATCCAAGCCGCAGTTTGTTTGCGTTTTGGCCGTCAGTTTTTGCCAAAGGTTCGCAACGTTTGGGTAATTGTTATGTAAATGAGTTTTACAATTTTTGCTTAACGAAAAAGGTCAAAGCCGAGCGCGACACAGACAAAAGGACGCACATACACAATGGATATATAGACTGACACACACACACACAGACAGACAGCCGCTTGCCTGCGCCCAAACAAAAATGTGCCTCAACTTGTGGCAGTCAGCATATTTTGTGGTTTGGTTAGCTGATGATGATGAGCAGCAACTGAACAGGCAATGCACAGCCCCAGACCCACCCGCACTCACACACACACACACACACTTACACCTGAACTTGTGTTGCATGCCTCTGCATGTTAATCCTCGAGCTGCTCTTCAGCTGCGGCTCGACGTGCTCTGCCAGGCACAAGTTCTTTTTAGAAAATTGCAAATCAGTTTGAAAGTCAACGACAGGTTGTTGTTGTTGTGGCTGCCAAAACAAGCGATATGCCCAACAGCAAGCCAACCCAATTCCCAATTCCGTCCCTCACTCGGACAGGCAGCAACACGACAACAACAAGCGGTGCCTCCATCTGCGTCACGTTTCGTGGTGTAAACATACGAATTTATATGACTGTATTTAGTAATAAAGTTGCCTGTCATTGTTGTTGTTGTTACAGTGGTTTTTGTTGTGTGTGTGTGTTGCATGTGGCATGCGGCAGGCGGCAGGCGGCGGCACTGGGGCAGCGACACATACGAAACTTAATAACCGTTTAGCCAGTAAGCAAAAGTTACCAAACCGAAATTCCTTTGGCTTGCGGGATTACAGTGAAATTTTACGATTATGTTTTGCTAGCAGTCCATTTTTGGCAACATAACGCTGCCACTATATAGTAAAAAATATATATATAATGCGCTCTGGGATTATGAAATTGATTTCGTTCACATTTTATATTGAAGTATATAAAAATATAAAAAATCTGCTGCATACTTTTGCGCGCAGCCAGAGTTCGTTGGGGGAGTCAAGTGAGGTGCTTGAGCTGCAAGCGACCGATTTGGTAATGGGGCATGTGAAGTGGCTTTTTGTGCAGTGTATTACACTTATTTCTGGCAGCAGATGCTGTGGAAAGTGGCTGATATGTAAACATGGAAATATAATAATATAATAATATTTTTATACATTTTTTTGGTGTAAAACTTGAATTTATTTTAAGTCTAAGAAATGATTCTGAGTGCATTGTAGGACGAGTCGATGCTTCTTTTTCTTTAAAGCTTAAATTTCTTCAACTGCTGGAAATGGATATTTAGCTAGTATTTCATATATTTCATTACAAAAAGTTCTTTGATTCTGGCTCGGGGAGGATTTGTCTATCAGATTCATTCATTCTAAGCTAAGCTGTGTGTTCAGATGTTTTTCTTAAGGTTCGGCTCGCAAGCCTTAATCGTAATACGTTTTTATTTATAAATATTCAAATAAATATTATTTCTATAGAATTCTCTAAATATAAAATAATTCTCTACAATAATACAAAAATTTAATAGTTTCGAAGTCTTCAATTGTATCTAATCTCTTCTGTCAGTTATTCCTAAGATTGTATACTGTAGTGAGTACATACTCAATCCTGCCATGAAATATACAGCAGATATTTAAATTGTATTTAATATAAATATGAAATTTATTCATGTTCACTGAGTCTGCTCTTACAATTCTGAACTGCTTAAGCAATTGTTCAATCTCAGCCAACCAATTTAATCAAGAGTATCTATCGGCAGCCTCTAATCAAAGTGAAAATATTTAAGATAAAAACTTGACGCTTCACTTCAATTAGTTTCAAACTATATTAATTAAAAGTTCTTGGCCAAAAAAACTCAATTTGTTATTAATTAAAGAGGCAACGACAGCAAGAGGAGGACAGCAAGGAGGCAGAGACAGGTAGCTCAGCCCAAGCACCCAGGTTAATTAAGAAGGCATATGTGAAGAGCTTGACATAGACATATACAATTTCATAATGACAATGGAACACGTAAGCTTAATGCTTTGGCCTTGGCCATACCATATTCTGACAGCTCTCTAATTGCAACTCATGCAACATGGGGCAGCAGCTGCAGCTGCAGACCAACTGTCTCGCAAAACTTTCAAATTAGTCGACAAATGTTTTGGCATTTGTTACGCATACGCAACGTGTTGCAGTTAGGTGAATGAAAAATCCGTTTTGACATTTCAGCTGTCGCCCCCAAGTAGTGCTAGACCCCTTACTATAGAGGTGGAGCGGGCTGTGTTGTAGCTTATTTCCTTAAGTGCAACATTGGGTTGAGTGCTCCCATTTCTGTTATTTGGCCAAATAAATGCCAAGGCAGGGCCAAAAAGACAAACATAACCACGCACACAAGCCTAAGATACACAACACAGTAACGGATACAGTTACAGTTACAGTTATGGGGTCACGCACACACACATAAAGACACATATGCAAAGCAATTGCCTGGCATGCAGATGTGACTGAGCAGCGCTTGAAATTTTAATGCAAGGCAGCCATTCTCAACGGCATATTTACATTTTCGCTCAATGTCAATTGTGTTTATAAATTAATTTGCAAAAAGACATATGTACAACAAACACACACACACATGGAGCATAGCCCGTGGCATTGGCAGCAAGTCCCCAAGCTGAGGGGGATCAAAAAACAAAAAAAAAATAAAGTGCGCTGAATAAGTTTGTCTCTTGTTTAGAAGGCCAAGGGTGTAGCGGGTAGCTCAGCTGTTGGCAGACACATGTGTGCATAGAGGATGTGTGTGCGTGTCTATGTGTGTGTTAGTGGACGCCAGTGCTGACCCGGCGAAGAGCTAATGTCGCATTGTGTTCTGTGTTGCGCCCTGTCGCTGTGACAGGTTGCTGTCCCTGCTGCTGCTGCTGTTGGACGCATGCCTTTGTCTTTCTCACCCACGCAGCAGCAGTAAACAGCAACAGCAGCAGTTGCAGCTGCAGCTGCAACAGCAGCAGCTGCCACTCAGCAGTCGTTGCTTGACTTTGCCGTAAATATTTGCGCACAAAAGTCGGCAATGATTTGCAGCAACAAACTGGCAGCAGAAGGCACTAGCAGGCGCTTGCATGCGAAGTTTATAGTACACAGTCACACACACACGCGCAACTAGAGCTTAGCAGTTGTGCCGCAAAAAATGACAAACGGCCGAGCAGGCGGCTAATTTGCGCAACTGAACTAAAAGACGGCACTCGCACAGTGGTAGGCCCATTCAAGTAAAAACATTTTAAGTTTATATTAAATTAAAAAAAAAAAGAAAGAAAGAAAGAAAGTTAGTTATTTGCTATGCAATTTGCATAACTTAACTAAAGCTGTGATGCTACAGTAAACTTAATTGATTTTTTATTAATAGGACAAAGCTGTTGCGGCAAATGCATTGAACAGTAGTTCGAGCACTTGTAAAAAGATATAAAATTAGCTTTAACTGAATTTATACACATTTTCATAAATTTTGCAATTTAAATTTTTTTGAATATAACATATAAAAGTTTGACTACGCTTATGCCATTTTTTGAATATGTTCATAGACCTAAAAACCTTCGAAAATATAATAATATAATTTAAAATAATTAATGATATTAATAATATTACACAATAAAATATTTTCTTTTTAAATTACATTTCGCCATTGAAAAGCAATGATTTATAAATTTGTTGCCACATTATTTAACCATTTGTAATCACTTCATTCATTCAACAATTTGTCTCTAAAGCAAACATTTTGTACCACTGTGCTGTATTGTTAGCGCACGCACTTCCGTGCCTTGCGCCGTATCCTTAGCATTTGGTGTAATGCAAGTGAGCAAGTGAACTAACCCGACCAGCCCCACCGCCTCTACTCTTTCCCCTTCCCTCTCACACGCTCATTCGTTCTTCTAAGGCCAGCTGCGTGTGTTGGCGGAACAGCTGCAGTCTATTCGGCTTCGGCTTCGTCTGTGACTGTTCCCGAGTCGGGCTTACGCTGCCTCGGGTGCATGTGTGGTCGGCTGTCGCTCGGATGGCAGCCAATGGGCCAGAGTGAAAGCGTTTAAAGCAGCAGCAGTCGCCGACGCGTTCAGTTCTGTTTTCTGCTTTTTGCCGCTAATTCGCTTTCGGTTTCGGTTTCAGTTGTGCATTGCCTGGCGACGACGACAGACGCAACGCGTAAAGCAACGCAACGCAACACGCAGACGTAACGGCGCCACGTAACGTAACGTAACGCAACGTTTAACGTAACGGAAACGCAAAAGCGACGTGAAATTCGTGGCCGCATTTTGTGAGTTATTAAAATGCGATAAAAGCCAGTGAATCGGTAATAAAGCGCTTATCTTTGCTCGCAATTACGGGAGGCGCACTCAAAAAAAAAAAGAGGGGAGGGCGCGGTCGAGTGACAAAGCGGTTGGCAGCAGGCCTTTTATGTACATACAAACATACATTTTATATAGAGTATATATAAATATATATTGAGATATATAACTGCGTATATCTGTGCAATATCAGAGCACTCGCTGTGCGTGGCGCCCAATTACCAAGGCAGTGAACCAAATGTACCCTACCCCATGCCATTGCCCCTTCCTCCCCAAGGCAATGCCTCACTCTGTGTGTGTAGTCAATTGTGGCCGGGCGCCCGCATCTGTTACAAATGACAAGCAAAGCTCACTAACTGCTGCGACTGCTGCTGCTGCTGCTGTTGCTGCTGCTGCTGCTCTTATTGTTGTATTTGGCTGGCTGTTGCTCTTCTTCATTTATTTTTTTGGCTGATATTTACGATCCGTGAGTCGAAATCTGCCGGCTTTGGTTTCGGTCAGTCCACAAATGTGCGCTGTCATTTGTGTGTCGCTCCATTTTAGTTAATAGTTGGCTACGTGTGTGGCATATTACACACATTAGTATGCCACACACTCACACACACGCTTGCACACCTTGTTGACAACGTGCCGGCCTGTTTGTTTTTCTTCGTCTTCTTGACTTGGCTTCCGCTTCATGTATCTCTAAAAACATTCAAAGTATCTTACGGATGTGCCACTTGCTGTGCGTGTGTATGGGTATGTGTGTGGGTGTGTGTGTGTGCGTGCTACTTTTGGGTGTTTATGACATTTAAATCAATATTGTCACACGTCGCCGCTCAGTCCACCAAACGCCCCCTTCTATCAACTGCCTGTGTCGCGCTGCAATTTGCACAGATTTGTTGCTGACTTTTCAAGTGTCGCGCTCTCATTGCAATCATAGAAAACCGTTGCTCTCCAGTGCAGGCGTGCTGGCGCCCCCGCCCAATCCCCTTGCGTTTGGCCTGAATTACGGCTTAATGAGCGCAATTTTGAGTGCAGCTAGAGCGGCAGAGTTACGGCGCTGGCAACTTATTTAGCGCTCATACGCCCCGTGGCCGAGGTACAAAACTTTTCAGCTTGCATTACAGACAACGCGAATGCGTCGAGCTGGGCTTTTGTCTAAAGCGATGCGGGGCGCTGGCGATAAGGTCATTTGTTGACCTCCACCTGGCAGCAGTTGCAGCAGTTGCAGCAGCGACAGCAGCTGTATGAATTATGCTTTTTATTCGCGCTTTTTGTTTGGCAAGCGGAGAGCCCACATAAGTTCTAATGCACGCAGCAGCAGGGGGAGCAGGAGCACCAGAAACAGCAGCGGGCAAGATAATACGCGCTCACCTGGCCATTTGCAGCGTCTGCTTTTCACGCCCACTTAACTGCATTAGGCCCCCACTTATGCAGCCGCTTTTTAGCAGAAAGTTGCGGCATTTTAATTTGTTAAGTGTGCGACGTTCATGTCCTGCGTGCCACTGGACCAGCTCCAATTCCTGGCCCCTCAGGTTTGCCCCAAAGCAGCCACAATTCTATTTACATTCGAGCAATTGTTGTTGTGCCAGCCGCCGCTGGCAATCAAAAGTGGGGAAAACTATTGCGAAACGAAGAAGAAGAAGAAGAAGAAGAAGGAAAACTAGTGCCAACTGTCTCTCGTGCTCTCTGCGTTGCTTGGTCAGCTTGATGTCCTTTTTGCCAGTTGCACAGCTCACAGTTTGAAGTTTGTGGCTCTGGGGCAGCTTTAAATGTTGCCCATTAGCAGCAGTACATCACATTCTGGACATCCACGTTCTGGACACGCCAATGAATTTCTTAATTAAGCTTAATGTGCAATTTGCCAACTGGAACTGAAGGAATGCCAGGCACATATATATCCCACTCGTAACACTCAAGCACAGTTTTCTAAAGTAGCCGAGTGTTGGACACGTTGTTCGTTTCATTTGAATTTTTGGTTAAGGCCAAGTTAACTCAAATTAAAAAGTGAAAGAAAACAAAACAGCCAGCATCTGTCTGAAATTGCGTTAAGTGCCACTCCACAGCATTCACATGCGTCTTCTCTCTCTCTCTTTCCCTCTCTCCATCTGTCTCTTTCTGCCTCTCTGCTTCATAGTCTAGCGCCCAAGAAGCTGGCAAAAAAGGAGTCCTTCCACATATTTATGTACACAATATTCTCGTATCTTTGGCTCATAAATTTTAAGCGTTTTCCATTTTGTAGGCGCAACTCCCTCGCAATAAAAAGAAAACAGATTCGTAATGAAAAAAGTTTTAAGGTAGCCAAGAGTTAATTACATAATTTCCACAAGGCCCAGAAACTTGAAACTGGACTCGACACACAAAAGAAAGGAAAGTTCATTAGTGTTTTAATATGTATAGTTGTCGAAATAGGTCGCTTGGAGAGCTTACACTAAATATTAACTGATAAAATCCAACCAGAATTTAGTCACTTTTACTGGGGAGATAGGTGATATGATAAAATATATTTATATTGATTATATATGTGGTTTAGATAAACATTTATAATAAGTCACAATATTTAGGGTATTCCAGTCCAGCCATTTGAATAATTTTATTAATAATTTTAATCAAGCATTTTGCAATTTTATGTGAAAATCTTCAAAGGGTTGACCTTTTTTGTGACTGGAATTTGCATAACATTAAAAATGTTACATTCATTTCTTTCCCATGTAACATCCATATTATTGCACATTTTAATCTAAACATTTTATAATTTTTATGTAAAACTCCTTAAAAACTTGATATCCATACATAAAGGGAATAAATAAATAATAAATCTAAATAGATTTTGAACATAGTTCTTAAATATGCTATCATCTTTTACATATGTAATACCCATATTATTATAATAATTAATATAAGCATTTTTAACTCTCAATATTTATCGAGCTGTTATCGATAAACTATCAAGTTCTTAATAATAATATATATGTTAACAATATTATTTTTAACATCTGATATTCAACTGAGCCTGGTTTCGCTTTAGAGTTTCTTATTTGCATTCCTAAGTCAATTTCTCCTAGAAAATTTTTAATTCTCTCCAAAATTGATCGATTAACAATTCCAATCGCTAAAGCTCTCGAAAGCACAATAATCGGCATTCGATTGTTTTTTCGTTCATTGTTCATTTAACACCTTTAGCCTTGGGCAACCTTTTAACCACTTAAGCAGTCCCAATTACAATACGCTCAACACGCAGCGTGGAAAGGAGCCCTTGCCACATGGCATTAGGATCAGCAGTCCGAGGCTGAGAGGATGATGACTTGAAGTTCATTTTCGGCCATACACACTTGAACTCTTAGCACTTCACTAATCTGTCCATTGTGGGGCACTCCGAGTGGGCCAAAATGCTCGCTTCATAACTGGTTTATTTTTCTACCTCTCCTTCTGCTTCTTCTCGTTTCTTTTAGCCCCTAAGCGAGTGCGTGTGTGCGTTGGTCAAGTGAATTTACGACCAAAGGACAGACACTTTTGGTCACTCATGGTCACTTGGCAATGTTCATGGTCACTAGGCATCGGGACAGTGGCCAGTGGCCAGCGGACAGTGGGTGTGGTCAGTGGGTGGGGCGTCAGCTCGAAGGTTGGTGAACTTCAGTGCACAGGTTAGTCAGTCGGGTTAGCCCGCCCAAGATATTACACACCAGAGAGCGGGTGGAAGAGCATCCTTCACGATTACTTAATATTAATGATGCTCGGCTCCAACTTCCACAGTCCAGAGAGCAGCCAGCCTCAGCTCTATGTCGCAAATCTGTCGTCGATGGCAAAAAAAAAAAAACAAAAAATGAAAGTTTTGCCTTGGTCCATGTTGTCTATGTAATGAATGCCTTTTGTGTCTGCGCCTTTTGACTTGGTTTACTTCTGGGAGCAGCAGCATCAGCCAACAGACGAGCGAGGCGCAGGAGATGAGGGAGCAGGCTACAGGCGGCGTTTTATCTCTTTGCATTGTGTTGAATGGCCGCAGCAGAGCAGCTGAAAATATTTGCTTAAGCAGATTTAACTACATTAACTTAATTAAATAGGCGCTAAGCAGATGAAAGAAAGAGAGAGCGTGGCGATAGGCTAAGAGAGAGATGGAGGTACTAGGGAAGAGGCTGTGTGTGCGTTTGATTTTGTAAGCAGACGTCGCGTATGCGTGATATTGATTGATTCCGAATTACATACAATAAATGCCGCTGCCAGTCGTTGTCGTTGCTGCTGGTAGCTGCTGGCTGGTAGCTGTAGCTCGAGCTGTTGTTATTGTTATTGTTATTGCCTCGAGCCGAACAAAAGAGTTCAATTGATGTTTGCAAGTGGGCGACTCAATGCACGAATCCGTGCGGATTCCCATGTTCGCCTCAAACTCTGTCTCATGTGCCCCCACCCCCCACGCGCTCTCTGTCTCTCCCTCTTGCTTACTGTTGCTTTAGCCAACTCTTTCGCTCTGTCTTTTGTTGCCCTACAGCTGTTTGCCTGGTTTTTGGTTTTGTTCTGTTCATTGTTCTTCTTGGATTGTTGCGTAAATGTTATTTTAATCAAGCAGCAGGCTAAACGTTTGAGCTCCCATTGTGGTTCTTGGCTTGTACTTAATATATTCTGTATACACACACGCACAGGCACACGCACGCTCACCCACAACTAACGCATTGGGTCTATGTTAAGCCGAACGTGTTTGAGCTACAAAGCATTTAGCATGCCCAAAAAACTTTTCAATGGGCGAGTCATTAGTTTCATTTAAAAGCAATCGAAAATCTTTTAAAGCACTTAAGCCAAAGGCAGTTAACATGTTGAACTCTCATTAACATAATACTGTTGCTATATCGGTTAAAGTGAATGTAATGCCAGTAGAAGATAGCAGAAATTGAGTTAGAAATTGAGAGATTAGGCTAGAGAGGATAAGCATTGAATGCTTAGTTAGTTTGAATATTATGCGTTGAGTGTAGCTCAATTAACACTTTGATATGAGAGAGACAGAGAGAGAGAGAAGAGCAAAATAAGTGAGTAA